AGATCAGAAGCCCTCTAAAGAACAACATTTGAAATAAAATCTATTGAGCCTGAGATCATATCTATTACAATAAGAAAAAAAACCAAAAAAAAAACAGAAAAAAAAACAAGCAAAACGGCAGATGATCAACAATCAGCTTCAACAACGCCAGCAAGACAAACTTGCAACCAGCCGAAAGGCTCCAAAGGAAAGAAGAAACAACCTCCAAAAGGAAAGGGAAACCACCTATGATGCACCGACACGCCTCTTAAAGAGGGTATGCAGTGTCGGACACGTGTCGGACAAGGACACGCGTCGGACACGGCATGGACACGTGTCCGACACGACATTGGAGTGTCGGAATCTAAAACATTAAAATTTAAATCGGACACGCGTGTCCGATTATTAAATGATAAAATCGTCCGTTCTATTTAGCCTTTTCCGCGAACGAGAAGCCCTATTTTTTCGATCCACGAAAGAAATCTTCTAGGGCGGACCGGGAGAGCTCGCAGTCGACGCCAAACGGAGCCCGCTGCCTTTGCCTCCCGTTCCTTCGTCATTTATGCTCGTCCAAACAGAGCTCGTCTTTCCCATTCCTTCGTTCTTGCGTTATTTCTGCTGTCATTCGAGGCAAAGTTCGCAATCAAGGCCAAACAGAGCACATTCTACGCGCAAGAGAGCCAAGACCTGTAAGTGAATTTCGCCATTTCTTCTCTTCATTGTTGAAAAATCTAATGTATATGCTCGGTACCGCTCGGTATCGCTAGGTACATGCTCGATACCGCTCAGTACATGCTCGGTACTGCTCAGTACATGCTCGGTACTGCCAGGTACATGCTCGGTACCGGTAGGTACATGCTCGGTACTGGTAGGTACATGCTCGGTACTGGTAGGTACATGCTCGGTACTACTCGGTACTGGTAGGTACATGCTCGGTACTACTCGGTACTGGTAGGTACATGCTCGGTACCACTCGGTATCTTCACATACAAACAACTTCACAAACTTCCACATTAACACCATCTAAGTTCTCACTAAAAAAGTATTATCTTTAGCAATTCTCTCACCAATAGCAGGGGAAGCATCAAGGGGATTCTCACAAGCAATAGTTAAAGAAAAATTATTACCATCCACAATATTAATGCCCTCCCTTTGATCACAGTTAGGCATTTCAAATAAAGGATAACCACTAGGAGAATGAGAAGAAATACCCACAGGTAGCACAGCAATAAGAAGGCTGATATATATATATATTCCAAATATTTAAAATTTAAATTCATTTGGGAGGCTGCTATTAAAGCAATAGGAAGGTTGATATTAGGGTTAGAGGTAATACCTTCACTGCGCGGTGTGATTGATCTGGCATGTATTTGGATTGCTGTTCATGCCTTGGTTCAATGTTGGACTCTTTTCTTCTTCCGGTCCAGGTTTAGCAAACCAAATTTGGATCTCTTGCTAAACCGAGAGGTGCTGAATCAGGTTAGAGCAATTTTGTATGCGTCCACGTTCCATCAACTGAATAGGAAAGCTACTTGTCAGTTTATGGGACAAAATTTCGAAATGTTACAGAAATTCAGAAAGAAAAACTGGGAAGTTATTTATGATACTTGAATTCAAGCAAACACTTCTTTAAGCAGTATATGGGCAGTCGCAACCTACCTTAGGCAGCATTCTGATAGCCAATTGGACAACCCATGTGCCATATTTAGCTTGCTAACTTTAAAAACCGAACTCCCCTACCAAATACCCTTCCAAATCTGCCAAGTCTCCTCATTTGACTATAGGAGCATATATTTTTCATTCCAAGCTTTCTTGTTATATACTTTCGAAGACCGGTTTGTTTAGTATTTTATTGAGAACATCAACCTTTTGAGAATAAGTCTGGGAGACTGATGTGAAACCAATAGGAATTGCATTAGAGATTATAAAGAAATTGATTTAAGCTTTGCAATATAAACTAATGTTTCACAAGATTAGATGCTAAGAATTTAAGTCCATCAATAATGTAAAGGCAATCAATTACAATATAGAATAATAATCACTTGAGGATGATCTCAATCATAAAGATAAACTTAAATATTGTAAACAAGAGATCCCACACTTAACAAATAGAAAAGTCACTTTGAGTTTCCCTCACTCAAACTTGTCTAGTAAGGGTTAGCGGGAAAGAATCTTAGCAAATCAAGCGATGCCATCAAAGTTGAGAAGGTACCTATTGTAGTAGCCAAACGAAAGTTCGCCAAAGAGGGAGAAGACGTGAGTGGATACCAAATGTTCCGCCAACTTTTGGATTGTAGATGCTCTTCCCTTGATGACGCCAACGTGAATAGGGTGTAATCGATGTAATCTTCTACGGAGTTATCCCCTTATGGCTTGAGGTCGAAGGTGGATTGATGAGTATCCACTAAACTGTGATTATCGTAGATAGCTCCACAATCTCGATCCGGATGGGCCATGCATTAGTCAAGAGGATTGTCAATGGAGGAGGGCCTTCTTTCTTGGAGTGTAGTTCATGAGGCAAGAAGGTTTCCAAGGGGTGGGAAGAGAGAAGGGGCGGCTAAGGGAAGAGGGGCTTGTTTAGGTTGAATTAGGGTTTGGGTTTGGAGAGGGAAATAATATAAAATCTGAAATTAGTTTGAGATTTTTTGTAAAATAGGAAAGGGGATTTAAGAATTTGAAATTCAAATTCAAGTGGAGGGGGATTAATGAGGAGAGAGGAGGGAGATCCCAAGGGGGGGCTGGCGTCATGCATGGTGTTGGGAGAGATTTGTGGGAGTTAATGAGGATTCTAATTCATGAAACTAAATTAGGAGGTAAATAAGGAGGTCCAATCTAAGTTCAAATTAAATTAGATTCAATTTAAAACTTTCCTAATTTAATGTGGCTAATTTTGGAAAGTATTCAAAATTCAAATTTTGAATTTCGAATAGGATGAAATCTCTCTCAAATTATGTGGGCTAAATTAGGCAGGTCTTAATGAAGATTAAACTCACATTAAGAGAGGAGGGGGAGGGGAAGATGTGTGGCCGGCGGTGGGCTTGGGAAAGAAGGGGGTTTGGCCGGTGGGGGAGGAAGGGGATGGAGTTCGGCGGTCTAGTGGGAGGTGGGGAGCGTGGCCGGTGGAGGAGAGTTATTTGGCGGTTTTGTGGAAGGGTGGGAGAAGGGGCGGCCGATGAGAGGAGGAATAGGGAGACCGGCAGTGAGAGAAGAGGAGGAATCGGACCATGAGCCTCGAACGCTTCCGGGGACTGGTGGGTATTGCTTTGCCCACACCTTGGGACTTCACCACTCAAGAACTCACAAGCTCTAGAGAGAAAGCAGAAATTTTATTTCATTCCTCAATAATCTCATACAAGATGAGGACCTTATATATAGGCCTCCAAAAAAATAGAAAAGAAAGACAATAATGCCCTCGGGGCTACAACTCAAACACAAACATATAAAGGGTACAATCGTCACAACTAATAAAAGTAACACTAGTACAAAATATAAATCAGTCGTAAAGACTTCCGATCGAGGTCGTCGCTCTGTGCTGCTTCCGATGATAGACATTCCGGAATCTCCTGCTGATGTCCCTATCAGAAACATTTTCATTGAATTCCCCTTTCATCAATTCCTCATTTGATAAAGCTACGATCAATCATAGGGGTGTCAAAATAGATTTTCAGGTTGGGTTTTCGTCAAACCCGAAATTAACATGCTCTTAAGACATTTGTCTCGAACTTGGCCTGTTTGTCCAAACGGTTGAAAATTGAAACCCGAACCATCCCCAACCTGTGGCGACACAATCCGACATGCTAACCCGATTTAGTGTGGCGGGTGAATGCGAGCAGACAGGCGAGGGCACGGGCGAGTGAGCGAATGCTAACGCTATGAGTGCGAGCGTGATGAGTGCAAAGCGGGACTAGCAACCAGAATGCAAGTGACGAATGGGTCAAACAGGTTGCATTTGTGTTTGCGGGTTAACTTAAACCCGACATGATATTTCATTCAGGTTGAAAACTTAAACCCAAACCCAACCTATTTGTTAAACGGGTTGACAACCTAAACACGAAATTTTCGGGTCAGTTTCGGGTCTTGTTTATTAATTGAATTTAAGTTGGATGGTTGAAGTGGAGGAATGCATCAGGCTTGTTGTGTGATAGAAAAGTACCCCTCAAACTTAAGGGAAAATTCTTTAAGATGGTGGTGAGATCTACAATGCTTTATGGTGCAGAATGTTGGCCATTAAAAGAGAAGCATAATATTAAGTTAAGTGTTGCATAGATGAGGATGCTCAGGTGGATGAGCGTCTTTACTCTTATTGACAGGATACAAAATGAGCATATACATGAAAATGTTGGTGTAGCTCCAATGGAAGATAAGATCAGAGAGAGTCATCTTTAGATGGTTTGGTCACATAAAACGGCAACCTTTCGATGAACTAGTAAGGAAAGTAGTTGTATTAGATTTGACTTGTGTTAAGAAAGGTAGATGTTGACATAAAAAGACTTGGTTAGGAAATATTATAAATGATCTTTTTTTATTATATTTAAATTAGAATTTGACATTTAACATGACACAATGGAGAAAAGTATTTATGTGGCCAACCCCATGTAGTGGGATAAAGACTTGATGTTTGTTTTTGTATTCTTTTGCCAACCTTATTTGAGTAATACTCGAAGAATTATCTGTTTCAAAACTATCACTGGTGTAAATAGCATGAATTTGATGTCTATTTTGTTGACTAAGCCATGACTGATCGCTCCCTACATCTTTAACCCTAAAAATATCCTATTTCGAAATTGAAATTCCCTTTTCTATATTGGAATCTATAGATAACACATCGTTCTAGCCTGGTGGGTTATGACTAATAAATTTGAAACGAGACATCTCTGTGTTTCTTCAACCCTTTGTAACGAGCTTTTCTACGTGGCCTTAATTCCTTTTGGTTGATTTTTTCGTCTATTTGTTCTTCAATGTGGCAAATTTCTTCAAAGCTGTTCTGCTACTAATACAGTGCTGTTTTGTGTTACCCGCAGAAGAGGTACGAGGACATTCCAGGCTTGGGGCAACGGCAATCTGAAGAATGATTCATTTACTAAGTATGTGGTATCGTATACTTCGGGATTCAATGTTAAATGAACTTTCTTTTGAATAACTTTTTGTCTGCCAGCAAATAAGCACGTTTAGCTGCCTGAAACAGTTTTTTTTTTTTGGTTCCGAAGGTTTGAAGTTTGTTTTGCCTCTGTATTTTGAATGAACTAATTTTCACTTTGAATGGTTGCAAATTGAATAGAGCCTTTTAAAAAAAAAAAGAATAGAGGCTGTTTCATTTATAAGTATTCACTATTCAGGAACGGGTAAGTGATCTTCCTCATCTCATCAAGTGATCCTCCGAGCCATGGACCTTGTTTTGGAGGGCTTCTTTTGGGACGACTTTTTTACTGTTTCTTTAAATAGTTTTTTAGTACAATTTTTTTTTTCTTCGCTAGGAAGCTGCTTTAAAAAATAATAAGAAAGTTTTTCTAAATAGAGCCTACTGTTTGGGTCAGCTTTCTTACTGTTTTGTTTTATAGATCGTGACCATAATTTATTTTTGGCTACTGCTTTTGTGCTTTCAAAAAATTTCTATACTACATATCTGTTTGTACAGGAGCTTTTAAAAAAGTTGTTTTTCGCACAACAACTTTATGACCAACAGCTTTATAATCATCTTTACAAAAAGCTGTAGCTATTCTAAATGGATCCTTGGACATAAAATGATGGGGAAATCTTATATTTTTGTTAGAGAAATGTGTTGCGTCCAGTATTACATTTAGATCCATGGTAATCAATTATTTACCTCTCTATTAGATTAGTAAATCTAAGGAGGCAAGAGCCATCCCTATCCTTCCATGATTACTCCATTATTTGTAGAAATTTTTATAAGGAATTTCTTCAATAAGTTTTGTTCGACACCATTGTTGTAAAAAAACTTGGAATGATTAGGAGTAGCTCATCCAACCCTTGTTTAAGAGAGCATAAAAGTGGAAAGCAGAAAGCAATAATACGTTTGTATAGTGAAAAAAATATCAAAATGGTTCTTAGATTATTTAAGTTAGTACCAAATTATATAATATTTAAAATAGTTCATTGTCTCCTTACAGTTGCTTTCTTATTTATCTGTTTTATATTTAATAAACTTACATATCATCATACCTGGACATGCCCATGTAAGTTCTTCAATGTTAAGTGCTGCACCTTTTTTTTTTTCTTCTTCATATTCTTAGATCTGTTTGGTCACATAAAACGGTGGCCTCCTGATCACCCAGGTAGGAGAATAAGTTTATTATTTAATAGATTTTGCTTATGTTAAGAAAGGTAGAGATCTTAAAAAAAAATTGATTTGAAAATATTAGAAATGACTTTTCTTTTGTTAGATTTCAATGATGATTTGACTTTTAATAGGACACAATGAAGAAAATATATTCATGTAACTGATCCCACATAGTGGGATAAATGATTAATATTGTTGTTGTTGTTGTTGTTCGTCTTCTCATATTTGGACCTCTCTCTATATTGAGCTCTCTCAAAACATAGATACCATTTCTTCATTTAACTCCTAAGAAGAGTCACCAACCAATTTCAACTAGAATGTCGGTTCAGCTGAAATGAGAGCTACAGCTTTGGGGGTCATAAGAACGAGAAATTATTCTGTGCGGAGACCGAACATAGAACGCCGTTCGAAGACTAACCAGAACGAGCCATGTTAGCGGTACCGAGCAGTACAGAGCCGCGGTACGAGCAAGAGGTGATGTGGCGCATTCTGGTTGGCCTCCGGATGGCGTTCGATGTCCGCACAGAATAATTAATGCATAAGAACATGTCTCCCCTTTGATATAGTAATTATCACTCTATCTTGTGGATGAATTTTTTTTTTCACCTTTAGATCAATTAGGATAAACTCACACACACATCATATACATAGAACTTGAACTCAATCTCTCGGTTGGTCCTTAAAGCTCTCAACTAACATATCAAGATGAGTTGTGTGGATGACAACTTTGACAACAAAATGAATGAACCTTTAAAGATTGAGCCTCATGACAAAGACACCTCATAGCTTATCGCACTCGGTACTATACCTACCTTAGGATGCATTTGACAATTGAATTGACTATGTCAATTACTTTAAGCCATTTTTTAACAAATTTTTCTATATCATCAAACAACTTAAATAATGATATTTTTCGAGTTATGTCCATTTTGATTAAGGTTTCGTTTGAGATAGTTTTCATACTGTTTTTTAAAACGGCTTTTTAGTACAAAAATTTTAAATTAAAGAAATTTTTGTATTGAAAAGCTGTTTTAGAAAGCAAGAAGAAAGCCATCC